GTGTGTGTGATTGTATGTGGGTGTGAGTGTGTATGTGATTGTGTGTGTAAGTGTGTGTGTAAGTGTGTGGGTGCACGTGTGCCATTGTCTTAGTGTGTGAGTGTGTGTGTGTGTTGGTGTGTGATTGTTTGTGACAGTGGGTGTGTGAGCATTTTTATAAGTGTAACTATGTGTGACATTATGCTCGGCCACATGTGCACGAGAAATCACGGGCATCAATGTAAGTGAGTAAGTCGGTGTGCACGTACATACATGTACTCGAGTGTGTGTGTGTGTGTGTGTGTGTGTGTGTATGTGTGTGTGTGTGTGTGTGTGTGTGTAGTGTGTATTTTTTCTATGTGTGTATGTGTGTGTATTTGTGTGTTAGTGTACATTTTTGTGTATGTGTTGCGTGTCTGATATTACTTGTCTTTTCAGTGACCTACATAAATTATTGCACTTTCAAAAATACAGGGTGATCCCCAAAAACTGTACAAATTTATTTGTTAATACTTTCCTCCACACTGAATTTTTGCGTTTCTTATTTGTACACATCATTTGGAAGTCAAAAGGAATTTGTCTGATATTCATTTAAGATAACTCCACATAATAGTTTTGCTCTACATATCGTGTAAAAAGCAACCCATTTTCAGCTGTGTCCCCATTTTTGTAGCATGACGCACTAGTTCGCAATAGGCCTACCACTAAAAATCCCAACAGAAGTTTGCAGGTAGATTTTCTCAAGTTTCCTTTGCCTGCTGAGATCATGGTTAAGATTAGTAAAGAGCAGAGAGTTTCTTGTATTGAACATTTCCTCACCACCAACTCATTTCGTAAGTTTCGCACTAGGTACGGAATTAACGTTAAAGTGTCCTTTAGGCCTTCTTTGATGTCAAAGGTGGGAATGGTCCATCAGTTAGGACCTGTAGAGAATCAGAACTGAAAATTCTCAGACAAAACGACCACTACAGGTCAAACATACACAGTTTGCACACATTTAGACGTTCCCAGGGAGCAGAATTCAGTAGATGAGTAGTCCCATGAGACGTATGTCCGTGCACGATGTCTGCAGCAATGACTTTCTTACATCTCAATGGTCCGCAGTCTCAAGGCAGATCTTCATCTACGACTGTACCATTTTCCCGTTCGCGAAACTATCAGAGGATAGCATAATGTGTTCATGATTCCTCGATCGTCTTGAAAAGCGTGAACATTTCCTCTATGACATTTGGTTCCTTGGTAAAGCCCATATTCACCTTTCAGAGTCGCCCCAGACCTTTTAGAGCTACAGGCTGATAACGACAAAAATCACTTTTTTGACCAAAATGTGTTTCCATAACAAGATGATAGAGCCACTATTTTTTTTACAAAGTGCTCAGTGGGTTTTCATTGATTTGACTTCTAAATATTTTATTTTGAATTATTTTGAGGGTAGGGTATAATAAAAACAAAAAATATAACCTGTTCTTAAAAGGTGCTAGAATCTATTCTTGAAGCAATTTTTCTCTTCCCTACTATGTTTTACCATTGAATTCCATTCATGATATTGATGTGAACTATCGGGTTTTTTTTCAATTTAAATTTGCATGTGTTTTCACGTTTGTTAAACTTAAAAGCTCATTTTCTCAAAATTATATCTTTATACCCTACCTCACAAAATGTGCAATATCTTAGAAACTACTTGAGATGTCTAAAAAATTCAAGGAGCCCTGTGTTCAGCATTGAATGTCCTATAAGGTACAACCCTTAAATCAAAATGTTCAAAATCCGACTTTGGTATCTTTCTTTAGGAACACACATATTTTTTATTATCATCTCCTCAAATCCTGTCTATTAGGCAACCTCAGCCCC